GGTTCCCGGTACCGGAGAAAAACCAAAAAAAAAAAAAAAAAAAAAGAGACGGAGGTGAGGAGAGAGGTAGGGATGGGAAGAGTATATAAAAGATTTAAGATGCGCCATGTACATGTACCAAATACTTTCAATAAATGTAAGTATTATATGTCATAAATATGAACTAAAAATAATAATCTTAACAATAATAGTGAAAAAGGAGAAAGGGGATCTGGAGATGGAGGAAGGGAGGCAGGGATGTGAAGGGGAATAAAAAGAATCAAGATGTGTTATATACATATTCCTGTTCCCTAAGATGAATATAAACTTCATGTATTATAAACATGTACTAATAAAATAAAAATTAAGAAAACAGCAAAACAAAAACAAAAAAATCAAGCATTCAAGATGGGTGTGGTGGTACACATCTATAACCCCAGTACTTAGGAGGCTGAGGAAGGAGGATCACTGCAAGTTTAAAGCCAGCCTGGGCTACGTAGTGAGTTCAAGACCAGCCTGAACTACACAGTGAAACCCTGTCTCAAAAAAAACAAAAAAAACCCCAAAATCAAGCATTCAATACAACATTGGCTATTGTCCTTAGTTAAGGACTATATAATTATAAGAGGAAAACATTAACGACTTCGTACCACTTACGGCATTTAAAAAACTATGCTTTCTATTGTGGATTAGAACTCTAAAAAATAAAATAAACCCTAAGTTCTGGACAACTATACCAAAGCCCTATGGATGTCACAAAGGAAAAGGTGCTCTTTCTAGATGGCAGCTGCACGTATGGAGATGGTCATCTGGAGATACATCAAGGCCAGCAATTAAGGTCAATACCTACTGGGTGTGGCTCCCAGCTTGGCCATATCTCACCATGAGTCCCTGGACAGGTTACTTGACCTTGAGAATAACAAAGGGATCTATGTCTCGAATTTCTGTTAGCATAATTTTCCTTATACATAGTTACTGCATGGTAGTATTAGGTGTTCTGATTACTATCTAATGAATGAAATGGAGTTACAAGGAGTAACTGAGCAGGATATTTTATTTAAGAGTAGTGGGAAATGGCATCAGAAGGGTAACAGTCATTGTTCACATTTTCTGAGTGTTGACTGTGCATAATGTGCTGTTCTGACTGCTTTAATCACAACAACCATCCTATAACCCCATTTTACAGATGAGGAAACTGAACCCAAGAGAGATTAAGGGGCATATAGCTAGGTCACCATTGTCCTGTTCAGGTAATGAAGGGCATGTTAAGGTGTCTGGGAGTAGGATCTGAGGAATAGGCAGAGGTATGTTAATTTTTCCTGCTCAGAACCTGAGAGGTCTTTCAACTAGAGGGGTCATATTAGTCACCTGGAAACTAGAACAAATTAAAAAAAAATCAGTTCTTTGGTGGCATTTGTCATTTTAAAAAACATAACTTATGGTCTAACAATAAAATGCCCTGTAGCTTGCAGACTTTCATCTGACACAAATGAGGACTATCTAAATCTTTAAAATATACTAGAAATATTGAGAAGTATATGTGGTTTTTCAGGGCCATCTGCAGGCCATTACAGAGGCCTCCCTGGTAACCTCAGGGGGACAGCTGCCTTCCCGACCACAGACTCTGGAACAGCACCAGGGCCTGCAGTCAGGGCTGGCCCCACTCCGCAGGCAGTCACCATCTACTCTTGCAAGTGTTAACCTCAGGCCTTGGGCAGAGGCCTTCAGTGCCTCTGCTGAGGCCTGTTTAAGGGAGAAAAGGAGAAACCCTGAAGACACTTTCTTCACTCTGACTCTGCCAGAGACTTCCTCATTCCCAGGTTTTCCCTCTGTCCCTCCCTACAACCTCAGAGTCTGCAAAGTTGCTGACATGGCTCCCTCTGCGGTGAGAAGACATCCTCTCGTCAGCGCTGACCCTCCATCCACCCTGACTCTCAACTGGATAAAGGAACAGGGAGTCAGCACTTCTTCTGGTTTGGGCCCTTGCTTATACTACACTGCTGATTGCAGTGAAAGCCTTAACTCTTTCATAGTTGGCCTTTTACTTTAACATGCTAGTCTAGAACCCACTGGCTCAGCTCTCTTCTAGCTCAGCTGAGCTCCTGACGAGTATGACTTAATAAGAAATGCAGCATCCAAAAGCAAATGGCTTTTCCCTCCAAGACATTCCAGTCCAGTAGAAGTACTATCTCCACCTGATTTCCAGTGGTGAACCTGACCAACGTAACTTACGTTGACATTTGCCTCCATTGGTTGGGTCTCCGTAGTAGCCAGATATGCATGTCTCACAGTGCTTGCCAGTGGTCAGGTTCTCGCACTTCTCACAGATACTCTGGTTGATACACTTGCTGTGGCCGTTGCACTGGCAAGCTGAAAGGGAAAGAATTTCAAGAAGCTTCTCCCACAGCAGAGCTACAGGGTGCAAGTCTGACAAGATTTATGTATATCTGTGAGTTCTTTATTGCCTCTAAATATCAAATCATCTAACTGGCACAGTGGCATGTGCCCACAATCCCAGATACTCAGCAGGCTGAGGTAGGAGGAGCATTTGAGCCCAGGAGTTCAAAGCCTGCCACGGATACAAAGCAAGACTTAGGTCAGGTTTGATGGCACACACCTGTAATCCCAGCATTTGAGGAGCTCAGGAAGGAGGACTGCTGTGAGTTCAAGGCCAGCCTGGGCTACACAGCAGGACCCTGTCTCAAAAAACCAAAAAGAAACAAAACCCAAAAGACAGGCACAAAACAAAAACAAACAAAACCTGTAACATCAAGAAGTAGTTTGAGAAATAAGATCTAACTATCAAAAATGAAAATCGTTTTTGTTCATTATAAAGAATAACATATGCTCATGATGGTGCATCTGTAAAATACAAGGAGTGGGAAAGTCACAGACAACCCTACTACAGAGAACACTGCTCACATATGGTAGCTTTTCTGCCACTATTTTTGTATACTGTTTTACAGTTTTGTTCATATTAACATTCAATTTTGATATTTTAACTTAGATCAAAATTATTTTAAATTATTTCATCTATCATAAATAAAACTTTAAATAGCAAAATGATTTCCATGAATCACAACAGTTATTTCATTATCCCTTTAGAGTCTAATATTTAGTTTGTTTTAAATTTTCATTACTATGAAAATTCTTTATATAAACATATAAACATTTCCAGAAGTGAGATTACTAAGGCTCCTGCGGCACATAGGACTTTACAACTACAAAGTATAGGAATTTGGGGCCTCTCTGGACTACTCAGGACAGCTGTACAGGAGGTGTACTACAGAACTGAACAACTGTGTGCAGAATCTCTTGACTGTGTAGATGTGCTTTAGTTGATCAACATGATCTAGTTTTTCACCATCCTGGAAAATTTTCATAGCTCTGATTTCACTGCAATCAAAATTTTCTGTTTACTCACCTGTTAGCCACTCATCCCTGTAGATATTTTAATTGTTTTATACATATAAAACCTATATAACTGTATGGCTTAAAAAGACTGCATCAGTTTTGCTTGCCCCCAAATGACTTAAGATACACAGGGTGACATTTTGTTACTGTGAAAATGAGCAAAGGCCAAATCATGTTACAAATACAAAATGAAGTACCTAAAATAATTTACCAAAAAGCCCCTCTATTCTTGTTCAAATAAAAAGAGTGAGAAAAATGTCTCTCTCTCTTCTTCAAAATCTCACTGAAATTAAAGAAAGTTCAGAATAAGGGTAAACCAACAAGAGTGTGAGACAAAAGGGAAAGGTGGTAACAAAGTCAAAACAATGCACCAGCTATCTCTAGGTGGCCAAATCACCCAAGGGGGAGAGGAACCTGGCACAACCATGAGTATGCTGAATGTCCAGGCGGCTGGGTCTGCCGTTCAAATGGAGAGAAGCACAAAGCTCTCAACAACAGTGAGAGCCAACGAGACCAGATGGGAGCTCACACTACACCTTCACAGCGGCTTGCTTACAACACCCAACTGCTGGCCAGTGCTGAAGAATCTACAGTCTTTACAAATACTATCAATCCTCAGGACTCTCCCATATAAAACAATGTTCAACCTGCATGATCCACCAGGTTAAACATGCAAAGCAACCAGCCCTGAAGAAAGTGTTAATGTAAGAAATATGAGAGTAAAAATTCTAATTTTTAGTATTCCAAGAGGCTTGAATTATTGCATCCAAAAAAACAAGGGAGAAATCTGAATGAAAAAAAAATCTCTCAAAGAAGGCTCATAACATTTAGGGCTCTTATACAATATAAAAGATAAAACTAGGCACAGGTTAAACAGAATATGTAAGGCTAAAAGCTATTTGTAGGAAAACACTAGAACTACATGCCAATAAATTTGAAACCTTAGATGAAATAGACAAATTCTTAGGAAAACACAGATTATCAAAACTGACTCAGGCAGAAACAGAAAATCTCAACCAATAAAGAGATCATATCAAGAACTTAAAATCTGGGACCAGATATGGTAGCACAGGCCTGTAACTCAGCACTTGGGAGGCTGAGGCAGGAGAGTCACTGCCAGTTCGAGGCCAGCTTGGGCTACAAAGTAGCAGTCAGCCTGAACTGCACAGTGAAACCCTGCCTCAAAAAGACAAAAAAAAAGCAAGGTGTAGTAGCACACACCTGTAATCCCAGCACTTGGGAGGCTGAGGCAGGTGGACTGCTGTGAGTTCAAGATCAGCCTGGGTTACATAGTGAGTTCAAGGCCAACCTGGGCTATTTATAGTGAGTTCCAGGTTGGTCTGAACTATATGGTGTGACCCTGTCTCAAAAAAAAAAGGAACAACAAAAGCAAGAAAGAAAGAAGAGAAGAGAAGAGAAGAGAAGAGAAGAGAAGAGAAGAGAAGAGAAGAGAAGAGAAGAGAAGGGAAGAGAAGTCCTCCCACAAAGAATTCCAAGAACTGGATGGCTTCACTGGTAATTCTATCAATATTTAAAGAAGAATTAATGTCAATTAGTTAACTTTTCCAGTAAACAGTGCAGGAAGGAATATGCCCCAATTCACTGTACAAGGCTGGTACTGTACTAACCCAATACCATAGCCTGACAGTCACCACAAGAAAACTACAAATCTACATCCCTCATGAATAATACAAAATCCCCAACTAGCAAACTGAAATCTAGCACACACTAAAATCTAGCACATCACAGCTAAATGGGCTTTGTGTCTCAGGAATGCAAGTCTGATTGAACATCCTTTAATTAATGTAGTACACGAACTGACAGAATAAGGAACAAAGCCACATGATCATCTCAACAGACACAGGAAAAGCATTTGACAAAATCCAATATCCACTCATGACAAGAACCCTCAAAAAACTAGAACCTGAAGAAAACATTCTCAACCTAATACAAGGCATGAATGAAACATCTAAAGTAGTATCATATTTAATGGAGAATAACTGAATTATTTCCCCTAAGAAAAGGAATAAAACAATGATGCCCACCCTTAACCACTTTATTCAACATTATGCTGCAGTTATCTTGCCAGGGTATTTCGTGTACCCCCAAAGAAAAAGTTGTTCAGTTTGGAAAGAATATTTAACTATCTTTAGTATCAGATGACATCTAGAGGATCCTAAAAAATTCACTAAAATAAAACAAAACAACTAGAGTAAGTTCAGCAAGGTTGCAAGACACAAGATCCACATGAAAAAAACCAACTGTATTTCTACGTATGAGCAATGAACAATTAGAAAATAAAGTTGATAATCCCAAAAAAGGTATGAAGGACAAAAAATTTTATTTACTTATTTTTTGAGGTTAAGATAAGGAAAATTTATTGGAGAATAGGAATGGGGGAATGGGTAATAGGAGTAACTCCTGAGAGACAGAGGGGTCCTGAATGAACAAAATATTTTATATAAACATGTGACAACGTAAGATCATGACATAAGATCATGTACACTGAAAACTGCTGAAAGTAGAGAGACAGGCTGAGAATGTAGCTCAGTGGCAGAGTACTTGCCTAGCATACATGGTCTGGCATCTTACCTGGACAGTGAATGAAAGACCAGTTGTATCTGCCATCCTCCAGACACATGCTAGAGTTCAGAAGGGGCTGTGGGTAGGCGATTCCCGTAGAGGCTTGAGAAGGCATCTTCACTGGTCCTTTATAGGAGCCCTCTATGCACTTCCCTTTCCCAGTATTGCTGGGATCAGTACACCAGCCACAGCCTGGCTGCTCCAAGCAATGACTGCACGTACAATAGCCAGAACAATTTTCAGCTACAAAAAAAACCACAAGCTACAATTCACTATCACAGGTAGATTTGAACTCACTGTATTTAAAGTACCTTTCCTTTAACAGGTCATATAACTTCTTTGAGTCCAAATTACTATTTTACAGTGACCATTTAAATGAGACAACTAATTTCAAAGAGCTCAACAAATGTTTTGCTCAATACATAATAGGGAACCTCTCCTCTCTTCTTTCAATCTCAGGATGCTGGATGGAGAGGGACCCCAGAGATCCTCTACTGAGAAGCACTTACTTTATAAATTAAGAGACTCAGATTGGAGACATCACATGGATTAAACAGTATGACTCTGAGGTTGGAAAATTCCTCTGCACTCTACAATCTATCCCAGATTTATTTACATGTGTCACTGTGCCTCATTCTGTATGTGCACTCTCATCAGGCAGGACTAGCTTAAAAGCCTCTAGAGACAACGGGGCAGAAGGTGAAATCCAACTTGTTCAAATCCATACCACGTTCAAAGGTGAGAGCATTTCAAGCATTATCACCCAACATGGGACGCTTCCTTTTCCACTTACGGGGACAGGTGCTCATCGTGTACCACTCCATACATTGGCCAAATGGGAAGGAGGCCACGTAGGCATTGGAGTCCACGCACTGTTTCATGTTGCTGCACCACATGCACTCGGAGCTGCTGCTGGTGCACTCCCCGCACACTGTCCGCAAGGCACACGGTGTCCGGCACTGCTTGGCACTGTGGTTTGCTGAGGATTAAACCCAAAAGGGACAGAGATCACCCACCATGACAACTAAGGTCAAAGACTCTTCAAATGCAGGTTGTGATCCTTCAGCTTATCATGAGATCAATTTAGGCGCTAAAGTATATAAGGAAGAAAACAAAATTTCAGAGTCTTTGTGTACTGTTAAGTATACTCAGACAGCTAGGAAAAAATTGTCTCCAAAAATCATTAGGACAAAATGGGGGAACAAGAGAATCTTCCCACAAAATAGGGCCCTGAGCCCCTTTGAATATGGGGAATCTGGGATGAACTTCAGGAGTTTTACAACCTACCTGACCTTGTAACATCCTGTTGATAATTTTAGGGCAAGGAACTATAGAATACATTAAATTCATCAAAGCATTTAGGATTCAAACAGGTTTCCCCACAATAGTTTAGAAATCCTGTTTTGAGGTGATTCCTATAATGCTAGGAATTCTCTTCTATACTTCCTGTATTTACCTTCCTAAAACCGGCCACAACGTTAGTAGGGTCCAGGCTTCCAACAAAACCTACAGTTCCCCCTACTGCTTGTGGATGCCTTGTAGGAAGAAGAAGCTGGTCTTGTGCTTGTCTGTAGGCTACCAAGGCTGGTTCTACTCCTTCACAGAGCCTAAACTTAGCCCCAAAAGAGAAGGAAATCTGAGAAGCTACTCAAACCATTTGATCACTTGGTACTCTTGCCACCCCCTGGCACAGTTCTGGCTGACTTCTTTTTTTTGGTTCCAGGAGTTGAACTCAGGACTTTGTACTTGCCAAGCAGGTGCTTGTGTTGCTGAGCTCTATCCCTTGCCTGGCTGACTTCTGCCTTTGGTCAGAACTGCTCTCATTTTCTCCCCACTGACGCTAGCTTTCTACTGGTCATGCAGTGACATTTTTGTTCTTTCTTCCACAACATTTTTCTGCCATCACTGAGACATTTACCTTTCAGAACAATTCTCAATACTTTTTATGGTCAACAAACCAATCCATCTCAATGTTAATTAGGACTTTAGGTTCTTTGAGTAATGTTATTTTTTGTTTTGTTATAGCTCAAACTAGTCAGAGTCACAGATTATTTTTCTTTTAAAATTCTAAGTTATATTTGAAATATGCTTGAAATCAATACCTCATCTGTTTTCATATTTCAATCATCTCAATACATAACTGTACTTCATCTTTTTTCCCTCAACAAACTTCTGGAGCACCTAATTCACCCATGTCCTTACCTGGCCTTTCACAGACGCTGCCATTCAGTGGGTTGATGCAGGTTGCAGCCTTCAATCCCCGAGTATTGGGTTCTGACAAGATTCCACAGAAACCAGCATCACTGGGCTCAGATGGCATCCACTGCAGCAGGCTATTTGTAAACGGCGACATATCTTCCCAGCACCAGTAGGACACATTGATCTTCCGAAGGCCAACCCATGGGGTTAAGGTGAGCTTAGACTATAGGCAAAACAGGCACAACTGTGAAAACAACCAATGTCTTGACCAAAATAGGCTTTGAGATAAAAGCCACTAAGTTAGGTGATATTCCACAGATACAGGAAAACCTCCTACTTCCCAAACTCAGCCATGGCTTTTCAGGATAGGTCACCATTTCAATATGGCCATTTTACGAAGGACAGAAATATAGCTCAGAAAAAATAATGTATGAAAATGTTCAGAGAGAATAACAGCAAAACAATAATCAAGTTCTAAAATTTGATTTTACATCCTACATCTTATGACAAATGCTAAAGAAATGGTTACTCCCAAATTTGGTTTAAACGCTCATTTATACATGAAGTTATTTTACTAATATTTATGAAATAATGTAGATGCCGATCCTCAGACCACTACCCAAGCTTATCTGGAGCCAAGGTCAGTTTAGATGATTCAAGAGTCCCATCTTTAGCCAGAAGGTACTGCTTAGCACTTAAAATTTCCTTTCTCAGACTTACTGACGTATAATTGACAAAAAAAACCTATGCTATTTAGATGTACATGATGTTTTGATATATGTGTACATTGTGAAATGATTCCCATAATCAAACATCCATTATCACACATATTTATTACTGTGTGCACATGTCGTGAAAACATTTTAAATGTACTTTCTTTGCAAATTTCAAGTACTATGGACAGTATTACTGACTATAATCTCTATACTAGAATTAGATTTTCAGAACTTATTCATCTCGTATAACTAAAACTTTGTACCCTTTGGCCAAGATCTGCACACCCCAGATCCCATCCTTCACCTACCCTGGCAACCACCATTCTACTCTCTGCTTTCTTGCATTTCTACATATGAGATTATATAGTATTTGTCTTTTGTTCCTGGCTTATTTCACTTAGTGAAACATCCTCCAGGCTCATCTGCATTACTGTAAATGACAGGCTTTTCTTCTCAGCGGAATAATATTCCACTCTATCTGTGCACATCACATTTTCTTTCTCTATGCATCCAACTTGGAACTAAACTCTATAAAGAGTGACAGAGCAGTAAACCCCTGACATAATCTCTGTCTCCTACTCTCCTGAATTTCTTTCTCACTGTCATTTTAAAAACATCAAAGTATGAAGTTTAGCCCAGAAATGAAAGATATTTCTAATTTGGGCAGTTAAAAATATACAATGTCTTTCCATTTTGGAAGGGGAAAATTACACGTGCCTATTAAAAGACCTAAAAGAAAAGGAACACATTGGATAGGTGTTTTTAGTTACATCGATAAGTGAGATTTATTTTCTTATGTTTTTATTAGTACTTTCTATAAATATACCTATTATTTTAAAAAGAAAGACCATTAAAATTTATACTTTTTAAAAAGTCCTCCAATAATTTCTTTTTGCCCTCATGATAAAATTCAAAAACATTAGCACTATGGACAACAACTGAGGACTTGGTCTCTTCTTGAAGCCCAGCTATTGCAATTCCTTCCCATATACCCTGCAGCCCCCAACCAGCCAGCCCCCGACACGCATGCAGACATGCATGCACGCATGCCTGCACACACCTGCAGCTGACTCAGCCTCTTCTCAATCTCTCCATCTTGTACATGAGGATACCAATACTCAGGAAGCCTGGCCCTCTTCTCCTTTCCAATTCACTTCTTCCCACCTTCAGCATTATCTCTTCCCAGCTCCACCATCTAGTGGATGCCCCTTCTTGTTTGTCAGTATATACCTGGGCTCTACAGACTGCCACATTTGGGGTTAAAGCTATGGAAGCACACTATACTTTAGTTGTCTCATCTGTCAGTCTTATGACAAGACTGTGAGCTTCTACTTTATAAACGTGCCACAACAGACTAGACTACCTAGGACCTGTCAGGAAATCCGAAGAAGAAAGACCAGATGTGCACCTGTGGCCAGCTGGGGTAGTTGAACCTTTCTAGCCAGGCAATTTTTTAAGAAAAGTAAACCTGTGTCACTGGAAAAGATCCTAGCCTAATGGGCAAAGCTGTGGGCCTACCATTCATTTCCTGAGGGAGTGAATGACCATGAGTAAAGTCAGCTGATAGCTAAAGACAGGAAGCCAGGAGGGCCCACATTTGGGGGTGAGGAGAAGAAACAACATAGTCTCTGATAGAGACTATAAAACTTGAAAAAGCTACCAAAATATCAAATGTAGCCCTGGTATCCCCTGAGGCAAGCAGACTAAGAATATACTACCAACATCTGAGTGTCCACAGCGTATCAAAGTTACACTGGGAAAGAGAAGGAAAGTAAAGTATAAGGCACCTCCTAGCAGTCTTAGAATTGGCCTTTTAGGTGACACACAAAGGCTGCACGTAGCCAGGACCAGGCCACACGTCTGTACTGTCACATGAAGATGGCTCCACCCAAGGAACTGTGTTGCCCTCCACTCTGTCTGCTTGACAGGAACATTTCCTCCATATTTCTTTATACCATAGCCCACACTGCTAGAGGAGCTTAGTTACATAAATACAGTTAACTAAAGGCAGGAACACAGTTCTTGGACTTTGGACTAAAAATAACAAAATGTAATTATTAATCACATAATGTGATTAATTAATAATCACATAATTATTAACCACATTATGTGACTACTGATAACAACTGTAAGCTGTCCAAGAGCTCAAGAGTGCCAGGCAGGGGTGGGAGCAAGAAGGGAACATGAGCCTTTGCAACTCAAAAATCTTTAATAAGAAGCTGTCCTCTCCTTTTGGGTTGGCCTGGCCTAAGAAAGACACACATGCATTTCCTAGTGGTGATCATATTATGTACTATAATAACACCTTAAGTCTAAGGGATGCAAGTGGCTTAATCTACTGTAGCTAATTAGCTGTGAGTTCTTTCTCCACTTCCAACAGAATCCAGAGATAAAACAGGTATTAAATCATGTAATGAAGTCAGCAGAGTCTGTGAATATACGCACACATTAATTATTTGTCCTATAGACTATTATGTATCTTATAATAGATACGACTATGAAAAATTTACAAAATATTAAAAATTTTAAGATAAGAAAAAGGCAATAAAGGAAAAGCTGAGAGTGTTAACATTCCTGCTCTGGCCATGCACATCACATGCATCCACACCCTCCCACATACAAACTGCCAGCAGGTCCTCAGTAGAAAGGCGAGTACTAGAAACTGAAGTTCTGAGGATATTAACTCACCATGCTCTGTGATGACTGCATCACTCGGAGCTGCTTAAGGACAAATTCCACCTTCTTCTGGGTTGTGAGAGAAGCCAAAAAGGCATTGTGATTTCTACAGGACAATTTAGCATTGTCATAATTCTCCTTGGCAGTAGTAATTTTCAAACACGAGTTTCCAACCAAATGCCAGCCCATGCCACAAATGTTTTCTTTTACAAAGTGGAGAGAAGAAAAAAAGTTTTAAGAATAATGGAATTACTATATTACTAGTTTAAATTACTGAAGAGATAAATGATCCCTGTGATTTGAATTCCAGGTACTTCATTAAGATGTGTTGAGGGCATAGGACACATTTCTAACTTCTGAATACAGGGCTAGAATTGTGGACCCACATATAAGGTGCCCCTACAAGGCTTACCGGGCAGGGCAATGCACTCCTGATTCCGGGGCTCCCACTGGCAATTCTGGTCCAAGGCACAGCTCCTGCAACTGGTCTTCTTGTTACAGTAGTACATGGGGTTATCCTTAGGGCAATTCTCATACTTGGAAATAGAGAGCTAGAACACAGCAAACAAAAGCTTGTCTTAAATTCACACAGAGAACTCAGGGTGAAAACTAATAGGATACTGAATACCACAAAGTCTAACTGAGAAGCAAACAGCAAATAAAGAGATAGCTATATAAATCAGATACAGATGAAGCAGCACTGTGGCAGAAACACTGCAGTGCAATGTTCTGGTCAAGGCCATACCTTTACCAGGCAACGAAGCAGCCCACTCTTTAAAAAAAGTCACACCTCACTTGCTCACCTATAAAATGGGAATGTTAAACTTGTTGCTTTTCAAATGTTCCCTTAACAATTTAAAAATTTTCTATTTTACAAACTGCATTAAGTTGGCCCCCAACAGTCTAATTAACTATCAAAAACCTAGGTGTGATAATATAGGCCTATAATATGAGCTATTCATGGGTGAGGCAGAAGGGTTGCAAATCTGAGGTCAGCTTGGGCAACTTAGTAAGACTCTGTCTCAAAATAACATAAAAGGAATTAGAGGTATGGTAGAGTGCTTCCCTAGCATGTATGAGGCAGTGGTTCAATCTCCAATACTGCAAAAAGAAAAAAAAAAAAGACTGATAAATAAAACAAAAACAACTATATGGTCATCTGATCTTCTTTAGTCTTTTATTATAACCTCAATTTTAAAAATCATGGAGTATGCACTGAAGTTATGCTGGGCCAAGATACAAAAAGCACAAGGGTATTTTGCAAAGCCTATCATCTCCACAATTCAGTGTGGGCCAATATATACCTGCCTCGAACCCTAACTTTCTCCCCAAACTTTACACAGGAGAATGAGCTCACCATTGCAAGCCTCACACCCAGCAGCTGGTACTTAGCCCCCCATGCCCAGGCCAACAGTCCTTATACAACACTACCACCTTCTTCTGTTACACCACACACATACCCTGTGGCTAGTGAGGCCTCTGGAATCAGGATGCACAGAGCATCCCTCCCTAAAAGAAAAGCTGAGCAATAATAAAATCTAAATCTATATCCCATTTAAGAATAATTCTGGGTCATTATTTATGCCATATACTCAACTTCTACATAAATCCAAGCAGAATTTTTCTGTCCTCTATGATGTCTTTGAGAAACAGCACCTGACCTGGCCTTCTGTGCAGCTGTGGTTCCTAGAGACACAATGGTCATTGCACCAGTGGCAATCATTGGTGTTGGCTGTGCAGCTGTAGCAGTCTGTGTTCTGGTCACATCTGTCATGGTCAACAGCTGTAAAGAGAAAAAACTTATTAACTGTGACAGCTTCTGTTAAGGACAATGTGATACATTTAAAATAATAATAGTACAGTCGTTGAGAAGTAAAATGAAGCATGAAATTGGAGGGAAATGTACTGGGATGTTCAGGTTAAGATAGGATAGGCAATATAAAGAAATATTGTTTTGTTCAAAAGAAAACAAAAAATGCAAAAGTGAAAAAGCAAAGATAGGTAAATTAACAACTATAAGATATAGTGAAAGTCTGGGTCTTTGAATACTTTTCTTCCCAAAGAAAAAACTGTAATAGAACATACACTGGAAGCTTCCTAGGAGCCAAAGAAAGCAATGCAGGCAATCATGCCATTCCTCCCAGTTCCATAAGCAAGGCTAAGTTGGGCACAGGCAATAGAGAATGCCAGAGATTCCCGAAGCAGGCACTAGCTGAGTATTTTGTACATATACACACGAATTCAAAAGTGCAATCTCAGCTGGGTGTGGTAGCACATGCCTGTAATCCCAGCACTCTGGGAAGCTGAGGTAGGAAGTTCAAACCCAGCCTGGACAATTTAAGTGATTTAGTGAGACACTGTATATTTATATACATGATACATATTTTCATATATGATGTATATTTATATATATCACATATATAAACATGTTTAAGTCATAGATATTTTATATGACATATGTATTTACATATCTCATATATTTATCTAACAAAGACATATATATATATCACATATATAAATTTTTAGAAATTTCTTGTAGTGCACCTCCTTAAATGTGTTTGTCTTATTCTTAATATTTATTTTCCATTGTGAAACATACATGTTTAGTCTTATATATCCCCATTCGTCTAATATATTTTATTATATCAGCACTTATATTGATTAGCTTTCTTGTTGCTGGGATAAAATATCTGATACTTGCCAGCTAAAGAAGGAAATAGTATATTTGGTTCACAGTTTCAGAGGATTCAGTTCATGCTAGTTCCAAGGCAGAAACACCAGAATGAAAAGGTATAGTGGTGCAAAGTAGATGCCAGCAAAGACAGCCCAGAGAAAGATCACCACAAAAGACATACTACACAAAGGCATGTACCCAGGGACCCACCTCCTACAACACTGTCCAACTGCCAAACAGGCCATCCAGCTATAGAAATCAGTATATTAGTTTACTTATCAGAACAGTACCTCTGTGATCCAAACACTTCTCTAGGAATCTTTTAATACAGTCAAGTCAACATAAAGGATCAACTAATACAATATTCAATAGTTTGTATGACTCCATAAACATTACTTACAACCAAACAATATTATTATGCCTTGATTGAATTACTTTCTACTTAACTATTTAAATTTTCTATTAAATTAACTGTCCACTGCTCCTCTTTGCCTAGTTTTCTATACTCATATTTTCTTTCAGAGTTTATACTGTCAACTCTTTAGGCCATCTGATATTTTAATTAAGTTTTCTCCCACAATCTGTATAGTATATTTTTCCTTTGTTATTTGCTTTTTCTAAGTGTTTTATTATTAAATTGTATTTAATACAATTAATTGCTTTATTCTCATTTTATGGAGGTTATAGTTAGAAGTGATAAATATTTATGCACAATCCATTATGTTTAACTTAAAGTTGAGTATATATGTTTGATTTTACCTGTATTATTACTATGTCTGAGTATTACCATGGCATGGGCACACATTAACGAAGCACATATTAGTTTTTATGCCATTACAATAGTAAAAAATATCTGGTTTGTGTTCCCACCACCATTGCAGTTCACAACTGGGCCCTGCATGCACCTCTGCCTGCCTGGGGACACTGGACCAAGCAGTTCGCACTCTGCCACCATAGAGTTTTATGTCTGAGCCCTGTGGGCTCCAGCAGCTGGCTGAGGACCCTGGACACTGCAGTACATGTTCTGATGCCACTGCAGTTCATATCTGGGTCATGCATGCTCTTTTAGCTGCCTGGAGATACTGGATCAGGAGGTTCATGTTCTGTTGCCACCACAGTTTGCATCTGGGCCCTACAGGCTCCATCACCTTCCTAGGGAACTTGGGCTGGGGGCTCTTCATTCTGCTGCCATCACAGTTTACATCTCAGCCCCAGAAGAGCTGGGTACACTCCATCAGCTGCCTGATGACCACAAACTGGGAAGCCCATTTCCAACACCATTGTGGGACAAGTCTGACCCAGAGGAAAATTAGGGATGGTAGGGACCTTCAGAGAGTTGCCAGGGGAGGGTGTGACTGGATGATCCTCTTCTGGCATCAAAAAAGACAAGATGGAGTAAACTGCAATCTCAGAACTCTACACCACCCAGAAGAGGTCCAGGAGATAGTGACATAGGAGAACTTGGAAATCACACACCTGAAATTTTGGAAATGATTGCAACTGAAGTAAAGAAACAACTCCTTTGGGCCACAGAAAAATCAGATCAGAAATAACTGCTCAGGTAAAAAAATGAAATGACAATAATAATGAAAGAATTGCTCACATCTAAAGAAAATGTATATGAAAAAATAGATGAGCATAAACCCAGACATATAATAAACAAGATTCCAAAAGGCCCAGCAAAAGTCTTTAATAACCATTAGAAAAAAGAAAAAGATCACCTGTAAAGGATACCCCATCAGAATCACAGCAGATTTCTCAACACAAGCCGTCCAGTCAAGAAGAGCTTGGAGTGAAGCATTCCAGGTCCTGAGACAAAAGAACTTCCAACCCAGATTGATGTATCCTGAATACATCAATATCCATCAAATTTAATGGAGAAAGAAAATATTGCCACGAAAAAGAACAAATGAAGAATGTCATGAGTGTCAAACCAACCCGATAAAGAGTACTAAAAGACATATTTGTTATAAATAAAAAAATTTATATCTAACAAAGACATATATATATATCACATATATAAACATGTTTAAGTCATAGATATTTTATATGACATATGTATTTACATATCTCATATATTTACATGAGTGGTATATATATTTCTATGTGATATATACATTTATATATCATATATATTTATATAATATATTCTAGATATGACATATAGTATATATTATATCTTATAGATTATATATTTTAGGGCCAGGGATATAGCTCAGTGGCATAGGACCTGCCAGCCAAGCATGAGGTCCTGAGTTTGATTCTGAGTCCCCCCCACCAAAAAAAGAAAAGAAACTCAGATTATATATTGTATATATAATCTGTTAGGGAGTGACAAATAGACAAAGTACTGAGGATGCAGCTTAGAGTGAAGGCCCTGGGTTCAATTCCTAGTACCATTAAAAAAACTGCAAGTTGCAGAACTTCTGGCCTGCTACAGATCTGGTACACTTCCTTCTGACCTCAGAAAAGAGAAGTTGCACAATCATGTTGTCTCATTTGTTGAACCATCTTACATGTACAGCACATGGTGGAATCCACTAACAAAGAAAGCAAAGGCCCACTAAGTTGTTCTTTCTACCCTGATCATCCCTGCAAGGATTAGGCCCACCCAGAATTGAATGAAACAGAGTCAACATGTAAGATGGGATGGGTTCATACCTGATCCATTTCAGATAAATTATTTCCAATATACTTGCATGTTTAATTTGAATTTTTTAAATTTGAATTTTAAAAATTTTGGTTAAAAAATAATTATTTTACCCCCATCCAGAGACAGTGACTAATCCTACCAATTTCCAGTAATCTCTCTTCTTCATCAATGAACCTGGGAGAACTGTCTACTTCTTACCAAGGACTTATGCTCCTACACAGCTTAATTTGGAGAAACTCAGGAAAGTAAAATGTGCCTCTGTGCACCATAACGCTCATCACTGCAACACTGATCCTATTAGGTAAGGAATTCAGTCAATATAATTTAATGAATGTGAACAAATATTTTGCAAAGATATTCTTCCTACTTTTAAAGGGCTTTCTCATACATTAGCTCACTGTGTTGTTCTGTACTGCATGTCAGAGGAAAAGGGCAAGAAGCTAAGTAGGTTGGGATGAAGAAAGCAGCTTGGAAAACCTGGAGGAAGGTTCTAAAAGTGGGGAATCACTGTTCATCCTCAGCAACATGAAGGAAGGTTCTAGAAGCTGGAATCATTGCCCATTTTCAGCAACTTTCTGTCTCCCTATCACTGCTATATCCAACTATAAGAGCTAGAAAATACTTTCTAAGGATGGGTCTATCTCTACCCACTAGACCAATTTACCATAACATGGTCTTTTTGGGTTGATCCTCCTACTCTCATTCTTAATGTTATACCTCCATAATTCAATATGGTAGCCACTAGATACAGGTAGATTTTAACTAAAATGAAATAAAATAAGAAAATTCAGTTCTTCCATCATATTAGCCACATTTTGGGTTTCTGATAGCCCCATGTGGCTAGTGGCTAAGAATACAGAACATTTTCATCATTTAACATTTTCATCATGAAAATAAGTTCTATAAGACAGCACCATCTCAGACCAAATGCAGCCAGGTTCTGGAGTTGGGGTACAAAGCCTATGAAATGCCAAGAAGGTTTTGCCTCTGTCATTTGCAAAGAACTTCTAGGAGCCACATGGCATGTCTTCATCCACTGTAAATATGTTTATAAAGCAATTTTCAAATATCCCAAAAGGCTTTTTGTAAGTATAACTAAATAATTATGGATAACGAAGTGAGCAACAAAAGTGTACATGTGCTAAGTTCCTTCACAATTCAAATAAAAATTAGATTTCTAATTAAATTCTAAGCAAAGAAAAACATACTTCCTTTGGAAAAGCATTCTGATTTTAACTTTATGGCTTGTTCTTCTGTTGCCAATTCCCAGGAGACACACTGAGCTGTTTCTGTATCCCACACACACCGGATACCAGGTTCTGCTGCTATGCAAGCAGCTTCACTCTGATATGCTTCACACTGTTCTGAGGTGAACACCAAGATGTCACTGAGGAGGAGACTGTTAAAACCACCAAACACATACATGGTGCTACAAGATAAAAAAGGGAGAAAAAAAATTTACTGAAAACTTAATAAACACACAACACACTTTTTTTTTGTTTTGTTTTTGGGTTTCTTTTCCAGTACCGGGAATCGAACTCAGGACCTTGAGCTTGTCAGGCAGGTGTGCTGCTGAGCTAAATCAGACTGCTGAGCTAAATCAGACTGTGCTGCTGAGCTAAATCCCCAGCCCCCTGACACACTTTTTATAGACAATCTTCAGCCACTCTTCTATATCAAAAGTTCCCTAAGAAATTATTTTTCAAGATCTCAAACGTCATTATTATTTTCTTTCTTTTTTTTTTTTTTTTTTTTTTTGGTGCTTTAAACAATTTATTTAACTGAAATGGACTTCCATTTATTTAACTGCAGTGACTTCCACTTATTTTGCTACATCTTTTCCCCATGGTGATTTACATCTCAAGCCAATATAAATATTTCATAAATATGTGGTCATCTTGCTATACTGCTACACAATACCTCAGCAGTATCTTTCTGCAAGAGAAACACCAAAGAGTAAAGACCTGGCACAATTAACTAGGTGGGATGAAAATCTGCTCCAGACACTTGTTTCTAAGGTAAACGCACCAAACACCTGTTCAATTAAGAAAACCATCCTTACAACACAGGATGGTTTTTTCTGTTTAAGTGGGGCCTAGAACAACTAAGGGGCAATTAGGCGGTGAATGGCAGAGCTCCACCCCCAGCTTATGCCATCAATTCATAGGGATTAGGTTCTAACAACTCAGGCTCCTTCCCATTGGCTCTCACAAAGTGTGCTTCTCTGGGCAGGGCAGGCTGGCGCTTCAGTTGAAACCAGGTACCTTTCTCTTTGGCTTCCTTCTTTTTCTGATCATTTTCCTTGACACGTTTCAGGAAGCTATCTCGACGCTTTGAGTGCTTAATATGCTCAATACGCACATTAATCCTCTCGGCAAGAATCTTGCCCTTCACTTGCTTATGTACAACAATGCCAACAGCATGCTGGGTAATACTATAGACTCTTCCTGTTTTGCCATGGTAACATTTGTGTGGCATTCCTTTTTGCACAGTACCCTTCCCTTGATGTCTACAATATCACCCTTTTTGTAGATTCACATATATGTGGCCAAAGGAACAACCCAATGTTTTCTAAAAGGCCTACAGAACATATACTGGGTTCCCCTCCTCTTTCCCTTTGTATTTGTCATTTTGGCAAATTACTGGAAGATGGCGGTTCAGGCCGAAAGGCCATTTTCTTCCTTCCTAAATTCCACCCTTTTATCCTGACTTGTGATCACTCAGAATAGTTCGAACAGTCCACTTCTAAATATGCACATGGAAACACACAGTGAAAGGAGCTGGTTAAATTAGTGGGGAAAAGATGGACTTTTTAGTAAATGATATCAGCATAACATTTAGAAAAAGATAAGATTGATTCAATTTCTCACTCTATATATCAAGGTAAGTTCCAAATGAATCAGAGAACCACTTTAAAAAAAAAGTCAGGTGAATTCTAGAAAAGAATGGATGAACTTTATATCCTGAGAGTAGAAAAAAAATTATATCCATCTGACTTAAAATCCAGAAGGAAGGAAAAATTTTAATACAGAAAGTGTTTCAGCCATTTTTTTAGGAAAAATTACAAATGACCTTAAGCATATGAAGAGATGCTTAATCGTAAGAGAAATGCAAATTAAAACTACTTTGACGTTGCATTTCTAATCTATTAGATTGGCAAAGAAAAAAATCTCAAAAAAGGTTGGACAGCACATAGATTGGTGAGGCTACAGGGCAATGGGCAAGCTGATACACTACAATGGGCTACACTACAATGATATACAATGGGCTAGCTGAGTATGTAGAATAGTATAAGCCCACAGAAGGGAATTCAGAAAGTTTTAACAAAACTGTACACTTGTGAACTTGAGATCATATTTCCAGAAGGCTACCACAAAAATTCAATAACAAAAATATAGAAAGGAATATACGTGAGGCAATGCATCACATCACTAATGACAACAGCAAAAAACCCCACAGTATGTGCTATTTATCTAATGGAGGAAGGGGGTCAAACATATACACACAATTCATTTTTCTTTATTAAAAATGAGAACCACACTTCTATTTAACCTGTCTTCTTAACAGATGAACCCAGTAGAAATGAACCTAGGACTCAGGTTACAGCACTTACACCTACCCACCACTTTGCTCAAACTACAACTTTTTAGAGAAAAGTCTAATTTTAATGTCTGAGTCCAGAAATGTTCATAATGAATCTATAAAATCTGGTCATACCAGAAAGAAAGACAAGGCTAGTGTCAAAAAAACCTCAAAAGCTACCACGAAAAGATGTTCACTGGCTAGCAACAGCAAATGATTAAAACTTAAAAAGAATTTAAGAACTACAATGAACTGAAACACATCTGTTTGTATCTTTAAATCCACAAGTTCATGATACACACACTCTGACACTAAGGAGGAAATCTCATCCACTCTCTGTAGACGATACTTCTAAGAAATCAGTTCATTATTTTGAACATTAGCAAACAAAAGAAAAGAATCAATCCTATGAAGTGCTCTTACCAAAATCCTGAAATAAATCTGATTAAGTTGATTTGCAGGAAGTTTAGAAGACAGACCAATATGTTAGTCAAAAGCATGGAAATACTATAATCAAAGTCTGGGGCTGGAGGTATAGACCAGTGGTAAGGCACTTGTTTGGCATGTGCAAGACCCTGGGATCAATCCTCAAATGGGGGTGGGAAGGAACCGGGCTGTAAGAAATTCTACAGAATAATTAACACAGTCAATAAGAAATAAAAGGAAACATAATGAGTGGGAGCCTATAGATATAGAGAAACTTAAAAGACTTTTTATTTGGCGGGTTGTTGAGACAGGGTTTTTCTCTGTAATCCAGGCTGGCCTTGAACTCACTATGTAGGCCAGGCTGGCCTCAAACTCCAAATGATCTTCCTGCCTCAGTTTCCCAAGTGCTAGGACTACAGGCGTGCACCACCACACCCGCTAAAAGACATTTTAATCAGTTGTGATATATAGATCTCATTTGGATCCTAATTTGAACAAATTCAACTTGCTAAAAATTTATGCGACACTGGAAAATTTAAACACTGAATAGACACTGTGTGATATTAAAGAATTATTAACAATTAAAAAGAGTGATAAGTATACAGTGGTGATATTTTCGAAAGAGAGTCTTTATTTTTACTAAAAGATCATCAGGGAGCTGGGGATGTACGTCAGTGGTAGGACACCTGCATTGCATGCACAAGGCTGTGGGTTCAATCCCCAATACATTTAAAAAAAAAAAAAACTTGGTAAAATCCATTTGTAAATTTGTCTGTTTGCTAAAATTTATTTCTAACTCTGAAGTCAAACCTTGCAGGAATTTTATGATCACTTTCAGGCAAGTGCATGCAGCGGTACAAATTTAAGCTGACAAAGATGTACATTCCCAGCTGAGGTCACACAAAACAACATTCTGACTTCTTGTTTTGGCTTTCAGTCTATAAACAAATGTCCATTTTATGATTTTTTTAGTGCCACATTGTTTTGTTCTGTATACTGTGTTCTGATGCTTAAAAATAGCCTCTAGTGTGGTGTTGAAGTGTTGTCCAGTTCCTAAGCTGTGATGTGCCTTACGGAGAAAATACGTGTTAGGTAAACTGTTCACCATGAGTTAAAGGGCCGTTGGTTATTAGCTCTGTGTTAACAAAACAGCAACATACATTTAAAAAGGTGTCTTTTTTTTTTTTGGTTTTTCTCCGGTACCGGGAACCGAACTCACGACCTTGCGCTTGCCAGGCAGGCGCTTTTGCCGCTGAGCTAAATCCCCAGCCCCTAAAAAGGTGTCTTTCAACAGAAACACACATAAAACAACATTTTGTATTGACTGGCTTATGAAAATGTGATGAAAGGATTGGTGAAACCTAACCCTATATGTCCTCTAGGACCAATTCAAATTTAGTAATTCAGTGTTTATAGTGACTTTATAGAACACAACTACTGTGAATAATGAAAATCTACTGTAATCTGAAATGTCTACTTATAAAATCCTCTTATGCTGGAAAACTGCTTCAAACAAATCTGGAGTGGGTTAGGGTAGCCAGCAGGTGATTGCTGAAGTTGAGTAAGAGGCACCTGAGGTTCACCATGCTATCATCTCTACTTCTGGGCGTGCTTCAAATTTTCACAATATTTAATATTTTAATATTTTTAAATATTAGAGGGAAAAGTATTTTGCTTAAATCTCTATTTGGAAGATTATACTACATTTCTGACTAATATGTACATGGGCCTATCTTCTCCTTTGTATTAGGTCTTGAGTTTAATTTTGTCTTCAAAGATAAAAAATAATTTTTATATGACCTTTTATAGTATGTCTCTAAAAGGAACAAAGTCCAAATCATCCTATCCATTTATTTACCCATTCAGAAATACCTATTTAGCATCCATTATGTATGAAATACCTCTGGTTCCTGAACCTTCAGCCTGGAGAGTCATCCAAAAGCTCAGGTCCACCTCCCCACTGCCATAGCTGAATTAACTGTCTGAGGCTGAAGCAGCTTGGTTAGCCTCTTTGAACTTTACTCATTTCTTAGTTTTTACCCAATATTCCCTTATTATCATGCCAGGTCCTTGCTATATTCTTTTTGTTTTTCAGCAGACAAAGTGTCAGAAGGCAAAGTTTCCCTAAGGTTTAGTGTCAAAGTTTTAAGGCTTTTAAATAAATTCCAGTTCTCCTTCAGAGACAAGGTAATCACAGTGAGCTTTAGTGAGATTTTACATTTGCCAGGAAGGCCAGAAGGCTGTGTGTTTACATAGGCTTCAAGAATGCTCCAAAATTAATGAAAAAGAAGTTCACAGCTATCTACTCTGATCTGGCTGAATGTGTGGCCTTGAAAACAAAGAAAGTAAAACCTAGGGTAGACTTGTAAACTTCTGAAACTCTGATTCCCCAAATCACAAATGGCTCCAGAAATAGGGGGA